GCGAACCAATTCTGATGTAAGAGATGACGTCCTCACCGTATGTATCCACCAGCTTGGTATGGGCTTCCTTTGCATTCCAGCCGAAATCGTGGAGCAAAACCAAACAGTGGCGCAGGTACGTTTTGTCACAGTGCAAATTGTGCGACATTGTGTACTGCAAATGCAAGCTCGGTGAGTGATAGCTAGTGTAATGAAAGAGTATAATGTACACGTCACGCACATCAATTTTAATAAATTGATTTGCCACCCTTTTCAGGCTCCGAAGAAGGTGATCCCACCGAAACGTCAGCCCCTAATAAAGGTTTTGAAAACCTCGAGTGCAGTTCAATAAGAAGAAACAATTATCTATCAGTACTATGCCGAGGTTCATTGAGAGTCGAACATGGCGTCTCAAGGGATCGTCATCTCATTTTGATTGTTTTTGCGGCATATTAACTGTTCTGTTTATTATTCTTAGACTCCCTTTCTTTGCAGTCCCAGCCCTTTGGTGTTCGTGCTTGGTGCTCTTACAGTTTGTATATTTCAATCTCCTCTCACGTCAAGCATCAAGCACTTTTGTACTTTATCAAGCCAGTTTTGCTATAGCCACCAAGATTTGCTCCGAAAAATTATTTGTGTTCATTCGTTCGCCGAGAGCTCACAATGACATCAATTGCTGCTCTGTAGAAGTGTTCTTTGAGCAAATTGTTGACATGGTTCGTTTATGTGGTTGCGCATCAAATTCTTGCGCTTATCAGCATGTGCCGGAAACCTGAGACCTTTTTTCAGAATGGTCACTTTGAAGATGTTTTCCATACAACATTGCGCACGTTGCCGGATATGACGCTAAGGGTGATAATATTCGAGATCCCGATAGCATTTCTCGGCCTCCAACTCTCCTTAAAATGGATTGTCGATGACTTCTTCATTATTAAAACCAAATTGTACTCGCTATCATTTGCTTCACCCTTCACTCACTTCACGAAGCTCATGCGTCGAAGAGCTTAGAAGGCCATCCAAGTCTCGCGGAACATTGCCTTGCTCTGTTCCGGGAAGCGAATGGTCAGCGAGCATAGGAGATTTAGAATGAAGAAATTGGATCATACTAGAAGACTTCATAAAACGTATGTTTTAGCGCTTTCTAAAATCGAAATGGTTTATGAAAGCGACAGCATTGCAGCCGGGAATATTACTAAAACATAATAAAATAATAATAATAATAATAATAATAATAATAATAATAATAATAATAATAATAATAATAATAATAATAATAATAATAATAATAATAATAATAATAATAATAATAATAATAATAATAATAATAATAATAATAATAATAATAATAATAATAATAATAATAATAATAATAATAGCCAAATATATAAATCCGCCTTCGGTCTGTCCTGTTTGTTTGTTTAGTTTGCAAGTTTGTTTGTCTGTCCGCGAAATTCCGGTTACTGAAGACACGACTTGGAGAATTGGGTCAACGGTGGGTGTGAACGGGGATGAGTAGAGCATGGGACAAGAAATAAAAAGCACACTTGACCCATGCGAAGCCCCGAGAAAAAGTTTAGTAAGGTTAGCAAGGAGTTGCCAGACTCTCTGTGGGAAACACCCCCGAAATGGGCGGGGCGTACTCAAGGTGGGCGGTGCTTCTCATATTACTCAGTAACCCAGTTCGCGAGAGTGTTTGTCGCATAAAGCTTAGTGCAGAATGTAAATATCTGGCGAGTATTGGGCATGGTTCAAAAAATGTGTTTAGACCCGACCCACAGCGGGGCGGAGCTTGACTTACGATCCGCATGATACTCATTCTATAAGTTCGAGCTAGCCTCGTTCCAGAACAACTCCATTCCCATTTCAATGTGCAGAACAAGGAAAAAGAAGGATCGAGGTCAGCGAGAGCTGGGCCGACTGAGGATTGCAGGGCACAAACATAGTGGGCGGGACCTGCTCCGATGTGGGCGGAGTTAGACGAAGAAATATGTAAAATAGATCCAGAGCACTCCAGGAACTGGAAAAAAGTGGATTAAAATCAGCAAAGGGTCGCCGATTGAGAAATGTGTGACGGACACATGGTGGGCGGTGCCAGTCCGAGGTGGGCGGGGCAGAAATAAAGTTCCGTGAAACGGTTCTAGAGCATGCTTCAAAGACCGCGAAAGTCTTGAGTTGATCTACCCATTGAGAAGTGTGGGGCATAAATGTTGGTGGAGGTGCCAGTCTGATGTGGGTGGAGGCAGGCAAAAGCTCTGTAAAACGGTTTCAGAGCACTCCAGGGCCGGAAAAAAGTGGATTAAGGTCAGCAAAGGGTCGCCGATTGAGAAATGTGATGCACACATGTTGTGGGCGGTGCCAGTCCGACCGGGGGCGAGACCACGAAAAAAAGTTCCGCTGAAACGGTTCTAAGCAGCACTTCAAGACCCGGAAAAGTGGACGTTGATCACCCAGTGTGAGAAGTGTGGGGTGCATAAATGTTGGCTGGAGTTGCCAGTCTTGATGTGAGGTGGAGGGCAGGCCAAAAGCTCCTGCTAAAACGGTTTCCAGAGCATCAGAGCCGGCGCCAAAAAGAGTGGAATGAACGTCAGCAAAGGCCGTCGCCGATTGAAGAAATGTGACGCACCATGGTGGCCGTGCCAGTCCGAGGTGCGGCGGGGCCAGAAAAAAGTTCACGCTGAAACGCGTTCTAGAGCCACTTCAGACGCGGAAAAGTTGAGTGATCAGCCCATTGAGAAGTTGTGGGGCCATAAATGTTCAGTGGCGGTTTGCACACTCGTCGATGTGGGCGGAGGCAGGCCCAGAGCCTTCTGTAAACGGTTTCAGAGCACTCCAGGGCCGCAGACAAGAGTGATTAAGGTCGAGCCAAGGCCTCGCGCGCAATTGAGAAATGTGGTGCACACATGTTGTGGGCGGTGCCAGTCCGAGGTGGGCGGGGCCAGAAAAAAGTTCCGTGAAACGGTTCTAGAGCACTTCAAGACCGGAAAAAGTTGAGTTGATCGCCCATTGAGAAATGTGGGGCATAAATGTTGGTGGAGGTGCCAGTCTGATGTGGGCGGAGGCAGGCAAAAGCTCTGTAAAACGGTTTCAGAGCACTCCAGGGCCGCAAAAGAGTGATTAGCGTCAGCAAAAGGTCGCCGATGGAGAATGTGACGCACATTGCGTGCGCGGTTTGCAGTCCGAGGTGGGCGGGGCCAGAAAAAAGTTCCGTGAAACGCTTCTAGAGCACTTCAAGACCGGAAAAAGTTGAGTCGTTCGCCCATTGAGAAATGTGGGGCATAAATGTTGGTGGATGCCAGCTGATGTAGCGGTGAGAGGCTCAGGCAACAAGCCTCTGTAAAACGGTTTCAGAGCAGCTCCAGTGGCCGCAAAAGAGTGGATTAGGTCGCACAAAGGCGTCCGATTGAGAAATGCTGACGCAAATGTTGTGGACGGGGCCAGCCCGAGGTGGGCGGAGCCAGACAAAAAAAATCTGCAAAACGGTTTCAGAGCGGTCCAGACACCGTCAACATGTAAGCAGAGATGTGCAGGACCTCAACTGTTGGATATATGGCAAGAGTTGAGTGTGTCTGTGGTGTGTTGTAACCCGCTCCCAGTGGGCGGAGCGCACGACGTACTTATTCTTACTGAGTTTTAGCGCGTATTCTGCCATACTCTTAACCACCGGTCGTCATAGGTATTAGATTCCAGTCGGCTCGGCGGCTGATGCCAGCGCTCCTCCTCCTGTGATACGGCCCAAGTTTGGCCGGACGGGCACGGCTTCGCCACACATTCCTTCCCCAGCTATTCTCTCGCCTGTGCCCATAATCGACGCACTTTAGTACCACTCCATACTCAGTAATAGTCAAAATAGCAGGGATGATGTATTTGTCGAGAAGCTTTAACCATGAGTACAGAACAAAAGCCTGATATCAATGTGTAGCAAAGCCGCGCGTACCTTCTTTCGCTCTATCAGAAGGAAGGAGACAGGCACACTTCTCTGAAGGAACGAGCAGCATTTTTCTGGCAATCTAGTTGTAAATCAACGCCTTTTCGTGTAGGTAATCAATCTTAGCTTTGAATTAGTTGAAATTATTTGGGAATCACAGGCACAGGTACATAAAAATGTCAGGAGGTTGCACGAGGGATGATCTGGAGACATATTTTGTGTTACAAGAAACGCAGAAACTGTAACATTTTTCGTCGGACCGAGGGCTTTATCGCGGACCAGAAAGTAGCAGTATTCCGTCTCTGCAAAACAATAATTCTATGAATAGCCGTACGTGCGTTGAATACGAGGCTCAGGCACTCTGTGAAGATTACTACTTACCTTCAATTAGCACTGATTGCTTTCCTTTTTCTTTACCCTGCTATATTTGCAACAATCTAGCCTAACTCGCTCAGCAACACTCAACTATGAGCTTCAGATTTGCAGAGATATCACTACGCCAAAACTAACCAGCCACTAGTGTTGAAAATACTTCAGCTCGAGGTGAGCGAATCTGTTTGTTGTATACCTCAAACTATGTGAGTGTGTTGACGTGTCCCTTCAAAACGTACCTATTCACGTAATGTAGAGCAAGAACTAGTCGAACAAACCAGCAAAATGTTCCCGCACCCAGCCAAACGGCCAGAGCGGCACTGCCCCAGTTTCCTGTGAATCTAGCGGCTTAACGACCTTCAGGTGACTCGTATCATGTCAAGATCAACTGTAAGTGTTTCGCTGCCTCGGTCAAGATTCGTCATTAAGCCAGAGTTTTCCTTGTAAAATTGGGAGCTTCCAAGGAAATTTGAATCGTAACAGCAAAAATGCAGTACTTGTGTATTAGACGTTTCTCTTAGTAGTATCTCCAGCAAATCGGACAAGCAGAACATTTTTCGAGAACAAACGAGCTCTATTTTAGGGCTTGATCGAAGTATCGCTAGAGCTGGCTTCTATCACTGCCGTTTCACAATGTTATTTATTGCTGTACATAAGAGACGTCCAGGATGGTTGATTTCAAGGTAAGCCCTTATTTCGTTCCACCATTAGTTTATCTTAGCTCCTTTGCTTTTACACCTTTACTCCCTTACCTCCTTCTTTATTATGGGAGCCCATCGTGGAAACTGCAGGTTTCTTCTTCGCCTGATTAGCTATCTTCTTTATTTTTTCTTCCTTACCTGATAATGTATTGCAGATCCTTACCTGATAGTGCATTGCAGTGTATTGCAGGTATTCTCGAGTCAGCAAAATATTTAGTGGAAGTTCTTTCTAGTGCAGAGGCGCGATGTCTGTAGAGTTCTTTCTCTGAACTTGATAATCTCATCTTCCTCTGAACCTGATAATCTCGTACACATAATTTTCTCTGGCGCTGACTTAAGAATATGCAATGTCTTTTCGACATGAAAAAGTAACAATACTGGAAATATTTGGTAGTCATGGATTATTTTCGCGTCAAGAAGTGGTGATTGGGGATTAGTGGGAGGGTCTAAAGAGTACCGATTTGACGCGCATCGTTCAATTCATGAACACGTTTCAGGTTATTTAGAGAGCCGAAGATATTGCTCATGTTCTTCCGTGATGGCATTGCACTTTTACCTGGATCTCGTGATCGTACGGGTCGTGCAATCATCATATTTCCTCCGAAGGAACATCAACTAAATCCGGACAAAATAATATTAGGAATATTCTTCGTTGCTTGCACAGTGTCACAGAGTAAGTTTATCGTTCGGTACTACATATGGATTATTTTTTGTCTTAATTTTTCCTGCTCTCGCATTTTTATGTGTGTTATTCAAGTAACGACACTAAGGAGCTTTGTTTCACTGTGATCATAGATTTGCGCGGGAAACATGCGTCAAATGACGTGCGACCTACCCTGAAATCCATTAATGATCGATATGAGATCGATGGTGCGGATCGAGTAGGAGTTGGGTGGAATCAATGGTGCGAATGTACTCGGTATGTAAGACCTGTACAACTCGAAGCCACTGGTCTGATTTCTGTTTTTTTGAACAGAGGGAATCACTTAGGCAGGCTGCATTCGTGCGGTAGGGACAGATCTGCTGGGAACTCATGAGAGTCACATTGATGTTAAATTGTAGCATTGTTACATTTGTTGTTACATTCGCATTGTTCCATCGGTCACATTGTTACAGTGCATTATGTTACACATTGTTGTTGCTGTTGACTGTGATGCTGATGAAGTCTGATTGATGATTACTTCTGTATATTTGCTATTTATATGTTATATGTTATTGTAAATTGTATATATTATATTATATTATTCGTATATATATTTATTCCATATTGTATAAATAAAGACAACAATGAACACTCGCCGTGGTTGTGGGCAGTGTTCCTTGTTCGAATAAAGGATAGGATTCTCACAACCCCTGACAATACCTTCCGGTGCAGGAAGTATCACTCGAGTCCCATTTTGTTGGAAATATAGTCGTTTTTGTGCACACCATCGCGTTGTGATCAATTTCTGCTAACACGACCCCATACTCCCAGCTGGTTTGAAGGTCTTGGTATGATCCTTGAACACATGTTTCTGCGAAGGATATCTTGTAAATGGAAACGCGCAGGAGCCTGACGGTGTACTGACGGTTCCACCAGCTTTCAATTCTCCTATTCCGTTGGGCCCCCCCCCCTTACCTGCAAGCGCAACCCAAGACAATCTCTTCGTCTATTCCACGCCTGCGCCAAATGGAAAGCGCACCCTCTCCTGATACGCGCTTAGGAAGGACCTCTTGACCGCTCACCTTGGATTTCAAGGCGGCTTTCTCAGAATCAGAGATGATCCGTAAGTCCTGTGGATCGCCAGCTGCGATAATAGCATCCCTCACTGCCCAACAAATCCTTTTAAAACGTTGGT